TTTGTCGCCCCTTTTTTGTAAAAATGGTAAAAGATATGAACTGGAGACTTGTTAGAGAGTATAGGGCATGTCTTTTAGATATGCAGAATCTCCTTTTCGTGCGTCGTCATTACTTCCGATCGCTACCGGAAGCGAATTAAAAAATCAATTTTTTGTCAACTTTTTTCAAGCTTGAATTTTCGTTTTTATTTTCAGAATCGGACGGAAGACCTCTCATTCTTTCTCTTGACCAAATTTTGTGCACGCGATTTCTCGAGAACTATTCAGTTGTGCAATAAGTAAAATGACCAATATACTTGATATAGCCATAACTTTCATATCTTTTGATGAAATGCTTTGATACTCAGAATATAGAGACATATTATAAGTGTAGACAAGGTGACCTGCTTTTCCTGCACATGCATGCACGTTCACGCGCGTGCATTGCGTAAAATAACCAATATACTTGATATAGCTGTAATTTTTATATTTTTTTTATGAAATGCTTTGATACTCAGAATATAAGCATATATTAATAGTGTAGACAAAATGACACGGTCAGCATGAACATGCATGCACGTGCCCGCATGCGCAGTTAGTGGAGTAAGCAGTATATTTGATATAGGCATCACTTTTGCAATTTTTGATGAAATGCTATGAAACTCTTAACTTGAAGAAATCTTAGAAGTGTTGATAAATATATATATTAACAGTGTAGACAGTATCACATGGTCATCATGCACATGCATGCGCGTGCGTGCAATGCATAAAATTACCAATATACTTGATGTAGAGATAAATTAAATATTTTTTTATGAAATGCTTTGATACTCAGAATATAAAAGTATCTTAACTGTGTTGACAAGATGGCATGGTCATCATGCACATGCATGCAGGTGCGCGCGCTTGCGATGCGTAAAATGACCAATATACTTGATATAGCTATAACTTTTAATTTTATTATGAAATGCGGTGATACTCAAAATATAGAAATATATTAAAAGTGTAGACAAGACAATATGATCATCATGCATAAGTATGCACGTGTGCGCATGTGCAATGCTAAAATGACCAATATACTTGATATAGCCGTGACCTATTTATTTTTTGATGAAATGTTTTGATACTAAGAATATAAAGATATATTAAAAGTATACAATAGGTGACACGTTCATCAAGCACATGAATGTACGTGCGCGAGAGTGTTGTGCGTAAATCGACCAATATACTTGATATGGCCGTAACTTTTATACTTTTTGAGGAAATACTTTGATACTCAGTATTTTAAAATTTATTAAGAATGTAGACAAGATAACATGGTCATCATGGACAGGCATGCAAGTGTGCGCGTGTGCAATGCTATTATGACCAATATACTTGACATAGCTGTAACTTTTCTATTTTTTGTGAAATTTTGATACTCAGAATATAATGATGTATTAATAATTTAAATGAGATGACATCATGCACATGGATGCACGTGCGCGCGTGTACTGAGTTAAAAGACAAATATACTTGATTGCCTTATTTAATGAAGCTTACAGGGAATAAGACACCAAAAGGGAGTTGGGGAGCGTTTGGGGAACATCTGTAACGGTCCCCGTTACAATTAAAACCAGTTCTTGTTTTGTTTGTGGCACCGCGGTCTCAACGTTTCTTCGGGACTGTTCAGTTTTAATGTTCTAAACCGGCGTTACAATTTTAGATATTCGAAAAATTGTATCCAGAAGAGTTAACCTAAGGGAAAGGAGGTTTGAATGTAAGGGAGGGGGGTTATACTTACAAGGTACACCATGATTATGGTACGGGATGTATCCTTCAAGCAGGTGTCGATTAAAAAAACAAGGAATCTTGAATTTAGTATTTGCATCCCTAAATAACTCCTCGACAGATTCATGATAAATGATGGTCATTGATATTCTTTCCAACAATCAATATTTGTAATTACGTAATAGATTAATTAAGGCAATTTAGAAAAAAATGTCAAGGTGTAGAAAAAGAAAGAGACTTCGAAGTTATGAAAAAATATACTCTGTTCCTAATACTTGTTATGTATTTTTGTAAAGATTAGATAAATAAATACGAATTACTAAATAAATTATAATTAATATAATGATTATTTTTTTATTTTCGTACATGTTTATACATTAATAGAAACATTTTTTATGTCCCTTGAAGAAAAAAAAATATTTGTAATGAAAGTGGATGGGAAATGTAAGATAAAAGAAATAATTTACAGATTATTTAGTCAAAACACATTTCTTAGAAAAGAGAGAGATTGATGATGATTAACTTCTCTATTAGTCCCAATTGCGTTGGTACATGTATTATCTTTTTCATACAAACCTGAAAAATTTACACAATGCATAATTTAAATATTTTAAAGGAAATAATTCACTTTGTCAGAATGGATTTAATGTTTCAGATGTATGTTAAAATGTATGTTAAGATATTAACAGTAGTGAAGGAGAAACTTCAAGAATACTACGCAACAATATATTCGAGAAGTGGTGTAAATCAGATGTGGATACTAAAAAATTCCAAGGAACTTTTGGAACATTTGAAATCACAAAATTTTACCAAACTCAACAACATTAAAACTTACGACTTTTCAACTTTATATACAACTAATCCTCACGGTAAATTAAAGTACAGTCTTTCTGACATCGTTGACAGCTGCTTTTTCAATAAAAATGGAACTCCTAAATTTACTTACCTTGTCATTGGTCATTTGCAAAATTACTTTGTTAAAAAACAATCTGATTGTACACACAAGTACTCTGAAGTTGACATTAAAAAGATGCTAGTTTCTGATTGACAATATATATGTGGTTTTCGGAGACCAGGTCCCCCAACAATCTGTTGGAATTCCCATGGGTACAAATTTCGGCCAGTTATTAGCAGACCTATTTTTGTGTTCATATGAAGCAGAATTTGTTAAAAATCTTTTACGTGAAAAGAAGAAAACACTTGGGGTGGCCTTCAACTCGACATTTAGATATATAGACGACGTATTGTCAATAAACAATGGTTATTTCCATTCTTATGTTGACACGATATCCCGGGAGTTTGAGATAAAAGATACCAGAGGGTCTGGCACATTTGTTTCATATTTGGATATTTTACTGGAAAAAGACGTTAATTGTAATCTAACAACAATACATTATGATAAACGTGATGACTTTAACTTTTCAATCGTTAGCTTCCCTTACTTATGCAGCGATATACCCTTATCACCTGCATACAGGGTTTATCTCTCAGTTGATTCGATACGCCAGAGCATGCTCTACGTATGAACAATATCTAAAACGAGGTAAGTTATTGAAAAACAAGTTGATGACACAAGAATATCAGCAGTCTCGATTAAAGTCATCATTTCGCAAGTTCTATTGTCGATACCTTGTCAGCAAATACAAGCTATCATTTAGTCAAATGCTGACTGACTTTTTTTTCAAACTAATTGTTAGGACATTATTTACACACTGAATTGTCGACGGATTTTTCGTTATTTCCCGATCATAACAAGGAGCGGGTGTGACCGGTCGGCAGGGGATGCTCACTCCTCCATGGCACCTGATCCCACCTCTGACGTCTTTGAGGTCCGTGTTTACTCTGCTCTTATTTGTTTAATGTATAATGGAGTTTTGAGCTCGAAGAATGTTCATTATCTCCACATATTTCATCATAACAATAAATAATTATGAAATTTCTAAACAATAAATGTTACCTGAAGAATTTTATCATTTATAAATATCAATTACATTAATAAAAGTAAATCTACGTTTACATTATTGTATATAAACACGCAACGCGTACACACTTACAGCTGTATGTAATCCTATACAAATGTTATGATGAACACCAGATGCCATCAGACATATTGATTGTACGATGCACTGATTGGTCAACTCGCTATCTTGATTGGCAACTCTGTTACGTAATAGTGAGCGCTGGTTGCGCTTTCTGGGTGCGCTTCTGAAGTCGGGGTTCGTTATCGGTGTTCCCTCTGGGTCAGCTTCAGTGCGCTTTAGGCGCTCCGGGTCAGCCCTAGCGAAAAGCGAACCCGGGGTTTGGTTTAGGTTAGGTTGTGTCTAGTCGGTACTATAGTAAAAAAAAATTCTGGTATCTTTTAAAAATATTCTTCACAAGAACCACTGGTCCAAAAAAGTTGAAACTGATGCAAAACCTTTGAATAGTATAAATTCAATTTTTTATTCTAATCTTAACCCCAGGGGGTAGGGTGGGGCCACAATGTAACATCAAAGTTTTACATAAAACATATAATTAAAAAAATTAAAAAATGTTCTTCTCAAGAACAGCAAGGCCATGTTTAATATTGATATGGAAGCATCTTCAGGCAGTGCAGATTCAAATCTGTTCAAATTATGACCCCTGGGAGTTGGGTGGGGCCACAATAAGTGATGAAAGTTTAACATAGGAATTTATAGGAACAAATCTTTAAAAATCATCTTCTCAAGAACAGCAAAGCCATGTTAAGTCATGTTATTATATAAGCACCCTCAGGTAGTGTAGATTCAAGTTTGTTCAAATATGACCCCGAGGTGTAGGTGGGACCACAATGGGCAATCAAAATTTTAAACAGGATATATAGGAAGAATCTTTAAAAATCGTCTTCTCAAGAACAGAAAAGCCTTGATTTGTCATTATTTATATGGAAGCATCCTCAATTTTATAGAACCAAAGTTGTTTAAATCATGCCCCCTGGGGAAGGGTGGGGCCTCAATGGACGATCAAAGTTCTACATAGGAAAAATCTTTATGTGGAAGCATCCTCAGCTAGTGTATATTCAAGAGAGTTCAAATCATGTTCCTGGAATAAGGGCATGGCCTCAATAGAAGATAAAATGTCGGGACCACTAATATATTTTTTTTAAACTTTTCAATACTGAGATGATTTTTTTCTTCTTGGCCAAAGTCCTCAGATAGTTAAGCGATGAGTTTGACTTGAAAAGTACATACTTAGAAGTGCATAATTTTCAACTTTGTATGTTATATTGACAGAAAAAATAAACCAGTATTGCTCTGAATATCCATTTGCTATCTTGAAACACCCTGGAAACTGTGGCTGGTACTACAATTGTTCAGCTGGAGAACAGGCCATTGGGAAATATATTGAGGAGTGTAGATATCCAAAACTGTTCTCGATGATAACAAAGCAGTGTGAGGACTTTAAAAATGTTTATTGTGGCTCCAGGCATGAACCTCAAGCACCTTGTAAGTCACTTTTTATAAATACATTTTAGACTTGGATTATTTAATGATCATTGCTTATTCCTTGGTCACTTAGATAATAAAAATATATTGTATAGGCTGTGGGGGGATATGGGGACAGTAATTATGTATGATTTGTGGTTTAATTTCAATTTACCTACACATTTCTTCAAATAGGTGAATATGTGAGAAACATATGTCCATTGTCTGAGCAGAGTTGTGTCCCTTGCCCAATAAGATTGCCAAGTTGTATAGGACTGCCTGATGGATCGAATGCAATTCCTGGAAATCTTTGGTCAACAAAGTATCTAAGATGCCTTACCAATAGAACTATAGACATTTTGGAATGTAAAGAAGGCTTTTTTCACCCTTATCTAAGGATCTGTGTGGACAAAATATCTCCTTGTGAGTACATGATCTCAATCACTTATAATTAAAATATTTAAATTGCTGATGTATTTGTTTTTAAACATTTCAATATACAGTGGCGCCTCATTAATCTGAACACCGCCCCGAATGAAATCGTCCGGATAATTGAATCGCTTGGATAAGTGAAAACACTTCTCAAGAAAGGCATGTACATATGCACATACTGGTATCAAATGAGAAGGCAAAGTACAAAATCTCTAAAGCCTTGGTTTATTGATTTTATTTTTATAGTTTTAAAAGAACCGATTAATTAAAAAAAAGCATCAAATGTAATTTACATTTAAAAAATACCTTTTTAAAGGAGGTAATTTAACCGTCCCCTTAAATTGTTAATTGTGTGTGACTGCATGGGCTGAACAAATTTTGATCTGCTCCTGTTTTATTTCAACATATTTTATAATTATTCAAGCTCATATGATTCGACAGAACTGTTCAGCATCAACATTGAAAATTACTTATAATTAGGATGGTAGTAACTGATAGAACACTGCAAGCAAACTGAAACGTGTGACCTGTGCAAATATTGTAAACATTCAATGTAAACAAAAGCCATCTTCATTATTGTCAATATTTTTTTCTAGTCTCTTAAATTTTTAATTGAAGAAAATTTAAAAACTTAATTTGCTTCCATAACTGTATTTAAATTCTTTCTAAAGTAATGTAAGTACATTAAATAGAAATATTTTTTGTTGAATCATGTACCTTTTTTAAAAGCTTTCTGAAGAAAACTGTTTCAAATATATTATGTTTTGATAAACGGAAAATTGTATTTTGTTAAGCTTATTCAACTTAAGACCACTATGATGTCCATGGAATTCGTTCCCGAGTTATTATTATTCATTTTATTTCCAACTCTCCAAATTCTCATATATTTATATATCATTAGCAAAATGATTCTGGACGGATTCTTTTTTTTTTTTTTTTTTTTTTGGCTCTTTTTTTCATATACAATGTAATAAAATAATAAACATGCAACAAATTTATCTATATGCAGTAACGTCAATCTGCATCCTTCAAGACAATGTTTTGCAAATCACGAAAAATCACAGTGCATACTATCTACAGGATACAAAACATATGTTCATTACTTTTTCAAAGAAATATGTTACAGGGGATATTACTTTTTGATTATGACATTTGATTAAATAATTTAGATATTTTTAATGAAACTGGACGGATTCTTATTCAATTAATAAACAGTATAAGGTAAATAAAAAAGTATATTCTTTAAGCTTCATGGTAGACGTGTTTATGGATGTTTATTATAAATTGCATATTATTAATTGGAGGTCACGCAATCGCCTTCAAATTTACTGCATGGTCATTGTTTTTACAATAATTATCACTACAAGTAAAAGCTTTACAAAAAAACTTGCCTGACTAAATCAGTATCTATGGAACGTATACGCTAGAGGTGTGCTAATCGTTTACGTCGTCAAGGAGTGACATAGTCGCGATACTTCATTACACAAGATGTTCAATTGTCTTTCTCAAATGTCATAAACAAATATTACAGATTAACGATTATGTAAGACATGCCACTGTTTGGTCATTTATTAGTTACGTTGGGAGGAAAATGCAAATGCGCTTACGTAGATTGGAATTCTGGGAAGAAATTCACACTCTCTTACCAGAGGGCCCGCTTCTTCATGCACAATCTCTGGTCAATCTCTGGTCAGTGATAGATTGACGAGACGGCCTCTTTCTATCTAGAAATTATCACACCACACCCATTCACTAGAACAACCCAAGAAAAATGCGCGAAAATAATTTACTTGTGACATCTGGCGCAAAATGATTGTGTCACCCCTTCCATAGAAGACAAATGGAATGATCCAGTAGTTTAGAAAAGCAGAAAAACATGTTACGCGGATTTGTCCGTATAAAGAATCGCAAAGAATTAACAGGTGTTTGCATAAAAACTGAAGAAGGTAAACGCATCATAATTTTGCATCAGTAATAAGATTCTTTCTTCTGCAAACCGTAGTTGTTAAAATGCAGGTAGCAAATTCCGATGTAAATAAGCTTGCACAAAATCTAGCTAACAAAGTATGATCGCTTAGTTTCGGACCATGGAAAAATTTATCCTTATACTGCCTGACGCACGTGGCGTTCGGCAATAATGCTAGAATAGATAAGTGTGAAGTCATTACTTGAAAAAATTACCTTCCGGATAAACGAGTTATTTTTAGGTGAAATATTGCATTTTATTGTAGAAATTGACAGTTCTGATTCAGAATGTCGGATTAAAGTTCATAGGAAACGATTCTTAACACTAGGATTTCACTTTTTAAGCATAAAGCTATACATGAAAGAATGTTAAAATTACGAGTAGTAATATTTTTTGGCCTTTGTTCTACTGAAAAGTAAAGGTGAAAACTTTTCCACTTGTTACTTTTCTTACCCGCTTATGACGTCACAAGAGCCCACTGATGTAAACGGAGCATTAAACTAATGTATTTCTACCATATTTTATCTAGTTAATTTAAGTTATTTTTGTAAATATAAATGTGTCTATGTTTTCAGGTAAGTTATCTGATTTCGTAGTTCTGTCAATTCAGTCTGAGCGGGTCGTTAATAAGGCGTGGCAACTGAAAAGTGTAGCTTTTTATCGGAGTATGATCCTGATGAATATCCTATATAAAATTACGCTTAAATTAAGCTACAAATTCGATTACTTACTCTACATCAAACCTTTAGAAACAAAAAAAAATATTTCCCTGTTTAATACACATACACGACATACCAAGAGGATTTCATCGTCATTAAAAAAAGTTTTTAAGTCGTTTTTTTTAAGAAAAATCGCACAATGCAACATAGAATAGAGCAATTTATTAAAAGTGACCTTTTCTGCTTAGAATAAACATTTTGATTAAGCCTATAATATTCTGTTAAAGAAAGATATATGACACGTATGTGGGGATTATCCCTAACGTGAATCCCCAAAGTAAGCACGGGGCCAGTGGTATTGAAGTTCATGAAAAGCGCGAACCACTGAAATTGTCAGCGTTTTTGAAGTTTCGTTTTCCCCGATCCGAAACACATATTGCTGTAAAAACGATATAGCAATAGAATCCCTGAGTTTTTGACATGATCTTATTCTTCTCTCTCTCTCTCTCTCTCTCTCTCTCTCTCTCTCTCTCTCTCTATATATATATATATATAAAGAAGAAACGTTGACCCCAGAGCAAATGAGATTGTAACGATGCCATACTTTGTGCAGTCACGGTTTTACTCGACAATATCGATTTTTGAAATACTCGGTATGTATTAGTAAACAGTACAGTCCGTGATCAGTTTGCAAATCCATCCATCATTTGCGAGACTGCAATTTTAATATTAATGTTCTTTTTAACAGGCAATAAATCTTTTGAAATTATATCCTTTACAGGAAAAAAAACGTAAATATAATACACACTGGAAAAATAAATAGGTTTGTATATGATGATAAGTACGGAAGCCCATTGAGGCCAGTTCAGAAAAAGAAATATTTTTTATTGCGTTTAAACGCAATAAGTATTGCGTTTAAACGCAAAACATTGCGTTTAATCGCAATGTATATTGCGTTTAAACGCAAAACACTTTGCGTTTAATCGCAAAAGATTGCGTTTAAACGCAATCTTTTGCGTTTAAACGCAATAACTGTGCGATTAAACGCAATAATTTTGCGATTTAACGCAATGATTTATGCGTTTAAACGCAATACATTTGCGTTAAAACACAATAATCTTTTAGTTAAAAGGCAGTAATCTTTGTGTTTAAAGGCAGTCATTTGTATCAAACCTTGCAGAGTACAATGGACCCACGCATACTTCTATCTTTTATTTCTTTCTCTTTTTACTTATGAGGAAATTGCGTATTGTTTAGCTTTATAGAATCAGAATTCTCCGATCAAACTCTCTCTGAAAGGATAAATCACTAATAAGAATTTATAGAGGAGAAAAAAAATGTCGGGTTGTAAAAACAGAGGCAACCTTATTCTCTACATTCTTAATGAAGTTTTGGTCAGTTGCTCTGTTAAAAAAACTGTCCCCTACGTTGCGGTCACAATTTTAACCCATGTATAAAGGGATTTTTGGAAAGGACTGAGGAAATGTTGGAATTACGTACAACATGTTGAAATATTTAGACTTGAATGTACATTAATAACCCTTCCTATGGTTGCATATAGTAAACACAAGAACATATGTGATGGATTTATATGAGATCAAAATCAAAATCAAATGAAAACAGATTGATCGATGTGCACTACATGTATCAAATTGACAAGTGCTATTGATACCACTGAAACATTCTCTATAAGTTGTGATATACGTAAGCAATTGATCAGACTCTTCATTAAGAGCTTTGGGTTCTAATACATTGAAGACATTCAGGTTATTAGGATGCCAATGTTTTACTACAATTTTCAAAAACTGGAAAATTTTGCAAAAAGACACAGAACAAATACAGTATCATTGTGTTTAAATGCAAAACAAATCCTTATAAGGAAGGTTTATTGCGTTTAAACACAAAGATTATTGCGTTTAATCGCAAAAATTATTGTGTTTAATCGCAATACTATTGCGTTTAATCGCAAAAGTATTGCGTTTAATCGCAAAAATTATTGCGTTTTAACGCAAAAATTATTGCGTTTAAACGCAAAAATATTATTGCGTTTAAACGCAAAAAGTATTGCGTTTAATCGCAATCTTTTGCGTTTAAACGAAAAGTGTTTTGCGTTTAAACGCAATATACATTGCGATAAATCGCAATCCTTTGCGTTTAAACGCAATGATTATTGCGATTAAACGCAATGTTTTGCGTTTAAACGCAATAATTATTGCGTTTCAACGCAATAAAACATATTTCTTTCTCTGAACTGGCCTCAACGGGCTTCCGTAGACAAGTACTGATCTTTGATAAATATCTTTTATAAATATTTTAACAAATTGACGGGAAAAATACCTACCTTTTTTGGTATTTTATGTATTAAATTTTACTAATTAAAAAAAGTGTCGATTTCTAATTAATTCAATATCTACATTTGGTAGAATCCTTATTCTTCATAGAAATATTTCCACATGTTAGAGCTGACTTTTTTGAAATACATAGGTCTACATGTTTAAACGTCGTTTGTACTAACTCGCATATATACAAGTTTACGTATAGTTCTTGCCAGAATTGTTTTTAACCCATCAGCAGTGTGCTTGAAAATGACACGATTAAAAACTTTCAAGGACTTTCAATTACAAAAAGAAAGAATTAACAAGAGGAAAGGGGGGGGGGGCGCCAGAGATCGGGTATTGGTGGTGATGTACATGAGTAAGTGAATATAAAGACAGTGTCAAATGATAAGAATTGATAAAATTGTAAAAAAAAAAAAAAAACAAAAAAACAAAAAAAAAAACAGTAACACAAGAAATTTTTTATTGTTTTTTTTAAAGCCATGTGCTGCTACACAACAGGTACGTATCGTTTGTCAAGAACAGTGTCATACTGACAGTACGTGTTGGACTCTGTGTGAAAGTAAAAGTAGGTTGTAAATAAATGATTTCATTAAAACAACTGCCCTGGTTATGAAAAATGAATTCATTCTCGCTCTCCCTTCTTTCTCTTTTCCGATCGCTCTATTTTTCTCTCAATAGGTCGAAGTGTCAAACGATGAAAATGGTCACATTTTGCGGACTGATAAAACATGCAAACATCTTGCAAATATGCAATGGAATTTTTAAAAAGAAATACTAGCCTGTTTGAAGATCGTATATTTATACAAGGTTTTAGCCATGATTATGATATTCTTTAAAATAAGCTGCAAAATGACATGATAGTTTGTAAACATTGCATAGCTTTGAACAGCGACTGGGCCTTACTGACGTCATATGCTGAGATAAGCAACGTTAGTCAAAGTGAATTTTCACGACTGAGTAATTTTGATCGACTGTGCTGTAGCTATCTTGCGTAAAAAATCCAAAAAAAAAAAAAACAATTTCAGTTTTATTTTACTAGCTCAGATGAACTTATTCCCGTATGCAACTCTATATGTTCAGGTTATTGTCTCCTATGACCTTTAATGAGACAGAATAACTTGGAAAAAATCGGTTCCCAAAAATATTGTCCATAAGATGCAGCATCCGGATTAATGGTGTTTGGATTAACGCGGCACCACTCTAATTGTCAAAAAAAAATTTCATAATCTATTATTCCATAAAATGACATACTGTGAAATCACTAATTTTCGGGGGGGGGGGGTTAATTTTCGGAGAAACCCACGAATTCATGTCCACCACGAAATGTTAAATGTAATATACAAAACTACTCAGCAATCCTTCATCAACGAAATCAAATCCCCACGAACACATAATTACCCCTCAAACCACGAAATTAGACCCCGCGAAGATATGTGATATTACAGTAAATAGCATCATCTCATTAGAGAGACATAAAGTTTATCAATAAAATGTGTCTTTTTCAGCTTTTGTGTCAGAATTCTGCAAGACACACCCAGCTGCTGTGGTGGCTAGCAGCATTAATTGTGCTCAGTTTATAAACTGTACCAAACGCAGTGAGGGTTTTATTTTAGAATGTAAATATCCTGACCTTTTCTCAGCCAGTAGCCGGAAGTGTCAGACTTTTACTGAAGTGCAGTGTAGAGGAATTATAGAACCCCAGGCCCCATGTATGTTTTAATTATACCCCAATCCGAAGAAGAGGGGGTGTACTGTTTTACCTTTGTGTGTGTGTGTGTCTGCCTGTCCGTCTGTGTTTCTGTTTGTCCGTAACAAATGTTCGTCACAGTTTTCTAAGCAACTACTCATCGCAGATGTTTCTATATGAGTGAAAAATTCTCGAATGGGACGTAAAACAACATACAATCAATCTTTGCAGATGCTTAAAATTTTAGCACACTCCTTGTTTAGGGATGCCTTATGGTGGGATTCATTTTCGTACGAATCCGATGCCAACTTTCTGTTTTTCTGTGCGTCTTTTCGTTCAAATTTTCGTCGCAGTTTTCTCAGCTTTTACTCATTGCAGATGCTTGAAATTTCACCACACTCTTTGTTAAGGCATGCCATATGGTGGATTCATTTTCGCACGAATCCGGTGTCGACTTCCTGTTTATCCGTGTACTGTCCGGAGCTGTTTGTCCGTAATAAATTTTATCGCAGTTTTCTCCGCAACTATTCTTTGCAGATGCTCAAAATTTTAGCACACTCTTTGTTTAGGTATTTCATTTGGAGGGATTCATTTTCGTACGAATCTGATGTCAACTTCCTGTTTATCCGTGCGTCTGTCCGTACCAATTTTCTCTCACAGTTTTTTCAGCAGCTACTCATTAAAGATGCTTGAAATTTTAGCATACTCTTTGCTTAGGAATGCCATATAGTGGGATTCATTTTTGAACGAATCCGATATCAACCTCCTGTTTGTCCGTGCATCTGTTCGTACCAAATTTCCATAGCAGTTCTCTCAGCAACTACTCATTGCAATTCATATGATAGCATATATTCACATCAGAGCGGGGGTATAACTAGTGAGGATTGGCTCACAGACTTCTTGATTCTAAAAATTTGTTGCTCACCTGAGCTGAAGGCTCAAATAAACTTTCCTGATCTCATGTTGTCTGGTGTCCATCCATCTGTCTGTAGACTTTTTTCAGACTTCTCCAGAAACACTGGGCAAATTTCACCCAAGTTAGCTTCAAAGCATCCTTGGGTAAAGGGAATTCAATTAAGATTATTCAATGAAACAGCAACATCCTCTTTCAAGGAATATGATTTATGAAAATTTTTGGCTTCATTTGAAATTTTTCTTTGGAACCATTGGGCTAGAAAAACAAAAAGCCAAAACTTGTAAACTTGCATGAAAGCTTCCTTATCATATTTGTTCAAATCATGGCCTTGGGAACAATAAGTAATTTGAGTATTAAATTGGAATACATGTATATAGTAAAATAAAGATTCTTTAGAAAGCTGAGCCACGATTAGTCGTACAAATATGGAAGCACCCTCAAGTACTGGAGACTCATATTTATTCAATTCATGGTTCCCATAATATAGGATGGGGCCACAATAGGAAATCTGACTTTCAAACTGGATTCAATAAGGGTCTCCTTATTACAGCAGTTGTTTTATAATTAAGTTAGAATGCTTATTGTGTTTTAAATTTAAGCCACAAAACCATTTCTTTACAAATTTATACAAAATAGGAAGGTTTATTTCAATGCGCAAAAGTGCTGGAACTTGTAATTAGGATGTAAAAATAAATTTTGGCCAAAAAATATATACTCTGTTTTTTGCTCACCTGAACTGAAAATTCAATCGAGCTTTTCTGATCATCCGTTGTCCGTCGTGCGTCCGTCCGTCTGTCCGTCCGTCTGTTAACTTTTCACATTTTTAACTTCTTCTCAAGAACCACCGGGCCATTTCTAACCAAAAGTAATACAATGCATCACTGGATAAAAGGAATACAATGCATCACTGGATAAAAGGAATCCTAAATTGTTAAAATGAAGGGCCAAGCCCCCTTCCAAGGGGAGACAATTAAAAAAAGGCAAAAGTAGGGTGGGGTCAATAAAAATCTTCTGCTCAAGAACCACTGGACCAGGAAAGCTGAAACTTATGTGGAAGCTTTGTGAGGTAGAGTAGATTCTAAATTGTTCAAAACATGGCCCCGTTGGTAGGGTTGGACCACAATAGGGAATTAAAATTTTACATTGAAATATATAGGAAAATCTTCTTCTCAAGAGCCGGTTCGAATCCCATTGTGGGACGTGGAGACCGGTCCTTCGGATGAGACCGTATAAACCAAGGTCCCGTGTCGCAGTAGGTGCTGGCACGAAAAAGATCCCTCACTGGTCATTGGCCCTGAGTGCCGAGCAAAGGTAAAAAATTTGGAGCTCTCCACCGGCAAGTGGTGGCGTCTACATATAAGTGAAAAAATCTCGAGAGGGACGTTAAACAACAAACAAACTAAACGAGCCACTGGGCCAAAAAAGCTGAATCATATGTGGAAGGTTCCTGAGGTAATGTATATGACCACAATGGATGATCAAAGTTTTACATAGGAATGCATTGGGAAAATCCTAAAAAAAAGCTTCTCAAGAACAGCAAAGCCTTGATTAAGCGTATTCAATCGGAAGCATCCTCAGGTAGTGTCGATTCAAGTTTATTCAAATCATGAATCCAGGGAGTAAGTTCCATACAGGCAATCAAAGTTTTAGGAATGCATAGGAAAAATCTTTAAATAATCTTATTCATAATTGTTTAAATTATGGCTGCCAAGGAGTAGAGATGGACCACAACAGGGAATCAAAGTTATAGAAAAGAATTTATAGGATATATCAATAAAGGTTTCTTTTAAAAAACAATAAAGCCATGATTAGTCGTAGGAAGTCAGATGCATCTTCGGGTAGTGAAGATTCAAGTTTATTCAAATCATGTCCCTAACAATAGGGCAAAGGAACAATAGGAGATAAATGATATAGGAAAATTACTAAAGCCATGATTTGTCAAAAGAAATATGGAAGCATCCTTAGGTATGTAGATTCAAATTTGTTCGAATCAACTCCCCTCCCCCAATAATACATTTATATGTAAACGTTTCAATACTGAACAGATTTCTGCTTTTACCTAGCAAAGGAGCCTGTGTGAGCGATGTGGCCCATATGCCTCTAGTTTAAATTTAAAAATGAAAGTATGATGAATGTGCTAATATTGTTGCTTTTTCGAAGAATATTGAATAAAATGATATTGTATTTTTACAAGGTTCTTACAAACAGAATTTATGCATGGCAACAGATTCAAGTTGTCTACCCTGCCCTCAGCGATTTCCTAGCTGTGTAGGCTTAGATGATGGTTACCATGGCTTTTTCGGTCAGGAGTGGTACTCAATGTACTTCCAGTGCTATAAAAACAGGACAATTGATGTTTTGAATTGCAATGGCTACTTCGATCCTTCTACGAAAAAATGTATAGAAAAAATACTTCCAGGTATATAGACATGCTATTACATTAAGTTTCATTTATATTAATCAATAATTTTTGTATGGGGGATGGGATAAATTTAAAGCAGGTCAGTGTCCAAGTACTTATAGCTTGTACTTTCATTACAATTGCAGGGATAATTCCACTTAAAGTAAAAAAAAAAAGTCGCCCGCTTGGTGCAGTGGTAAGAGCGTCTGCTCTAGAGTGGCGGAGCAAGGAGTTGATGCTTACGTCGCAGGTTCGAATCCCACTGGACGTGGAGATTGGTCTTTTGGATGAAACCGTATAAACTGAGGTCGAAAAAGATCCCTCACTGCTCAATGGCCCTGAGTGCCGAGCATAGGTCAAAATTCGCAGCTCTCCAGCGGCAAGTGGTGGCGTCTCCATAAGAGTGAAAAATTTTTGTATGGGGGATGGGATAAATTTAATTCTAGACCCCTCAACATGACTACAGTGTTTTTGTTTGTTGTTTAATGTTCCTCTCGAGAATTTTTCACTCACATGGAAACGCCACCACTTGCCGATGGACGGCTGCAAATATATACTTATACTAGGCAACAGGGCCATTGAGCAGTGAGGAATCTACTGCGACACGGGACTTCAGTTCATACGGTCTCATCCGACGGACTAGTCTCCGCGTCCCGCGACGTTAGGATCAGCTCCCTACTCTGCGACTCTTGAGCAGATGTTCTAACCATGTACTGCGCCACGCGAGCGACTGACTTAAGTTTTTTCATGGTATTTGGAAAAAGCTTGTTTGTATCATCTTTCCTCAATATATATAACATTGCCTTGTCCAATTAAACTCAGGGTTGTCCCTAAGACCCGGCGGCCAGGGAATTTTCCCGCCTATAATGATGTAATTCCCCGGTTATTTTGGAATTCCTCCTTAACTCCCCAAATGGGGAGGAGTCCCAGATCCCTTTCTACTTTTTAAATATCCCTTCTATTTCAATACTTATGGACAACCCTGAAACTATGTGATACAAGAGTATATTTTATTCCAATTACTTGTGTAATATAACCTGAATATCTTTTAATTGGGGTTTCCAACAAAAAACCCTTCTTTATACATTTTTAGGTCACCTGAGTTTACCCAGGAGACCTATTGCTATCCGTTTTCGTCCGTCGGCGCGCGTCGTTTTTTAACATGTGAACATTTTAAGCTTTTCCTCTGAAACCGCTCAACCAATTTCAACCAATTTTGGCTTATAGCATCTATGGGTAAAGGGGAATAACAAAATTTGTGAATTTCGTGATTACTGCCCTCTTCTCCCCCCTGGGGCCTGAGGGATGGGTCCAAAACCACTAAAATTAATGCAATCTTTATAAAATTTTCTTCTTTACTCCTGGATATCAAGCAGTCAAACTGTTGGCATGATTGTTATATGTATTGAACCCTCTACCAAAATTGTGAAATTCATGGCCCCAGGGTCAGGGGTTCTAGCGCTAGGGCGGGGCTGTAATGATTATATAGTGAAAATGCATTAATCCTTTAAAAATCATCTCCTCTGCTCCTGGGTATTTAGCCGATGAACTAAGTACATAGGTATGATGATGAGGTTGGCATCTTTTAAAATTGTGAATTTCATGGTCCCTGGGTCAGGGGTTCTGGTGTTAGGGCGGAGCACTAATGATAATATAGTGAAAATACATTAATTTTTGAAAATCTTCTCCTCTGCTCCTGGGTATTAAGCCGATGCATTAAATAGATGGTTATAGTAAAGAAGTGTGCCTCTTCTAAAATTATGAATTTCATGGCCCTTTGGTCAGGGGTTTGGTGTAAGGGCGGGGCTCTATTGATCATATAGTGAAAATGCATGAATTTTATAAAAATCTTCTTCCCTCCCCTTGTATATAATAAAGAAGATAAACTAGGTGCATGGTTATGATGACCAAGGGTGCCTCCTTCAAAATTGCGAAATTTTGGCCCCAGTGTGAGGGGTTCTGCGGGAGGGGGGCTCTATTGATTATATAGTGAAAGTGTATTATTTCTTTGAAAATCTTCTGTGCTCATAGGTATTTAGCAGATAAACCAAGTATATAGTTATGATAAGCAAGGTCACCTCTTCTAAAATTATGAATAGTACAAATCTCTTTTCTGCTTGAACTTTCAGTAAGGCGTGACATTCTCGGCGATACATAATAAGCGTCTCTCAAATGGTGACCTACATTCTCATTGGTTAAGAAATTGATAACATTAGCAACTTTAGATTGTTGTTGACAAACGATGAGATGACATAAGCCACACCTCTTAACTGTTAGAAACGATGTCATTGGTTCCTTACGTCACTCGTTGACGTTTGTCCCATTTTTATCCCATGTGTATTTCACCTGTGAATAAAAAGCTGTGTAAATTTCAGTATTGATGAGCTAATCTGGCAACCAATGAGAATCTATGTCACTATTTAAGAGGCGCTATTTATATCCTTAACAAAAAATACTATAGTAAACTATAGTTAACTATAGTTTACTATAGTTAACTTAGTAAATCAAAGTTCCAAAGTTATCACTATAGTAAATCAAAGTTCCAAAGTTTTTACAATAGTAAATCAAAGTTCCAAAGTTTTCACTATAGTAAATCAAAGTTCCAAAGTTTTTACCACAGTTAATCAAAGTTCCAAAGTTTTCACTACAGTAAATCAAAGTTCCAAAGTTTTTACTATAGTAAATCAAAGTTCCAAAGTTTTTACTATACTTAATCAACGTATTTAAGTTTTTTCATTAGTTTAACAACTTATGTATTTTTATCAATTTATTTTTATTATTTAGCCGTTTTAGGGGAGGGGTTGGTTATGGGGTTGGCTGGGGCTGGTTTTTGTTGTACATCTTTATTTAATATACAAAGTAGTTAATTCAAATGCAATATTTACATTTATAAATTAAAAAAAATACATGTTGACTGAAGTTGATGAAGCAGATATTTTGATTCTAAATGACACATTATTTTTTATAATATATTATTTTTCCTCCATAAATAAGACTTACGTTACATCTGCATAACATTAAAATTGAATAAATTGAAATGAATATTGCTTATTTATTGGCGCAAGCGACAACCTTTACATTAAAATTCATATCTTTTTTTTTACATTATTCCTTTAGAGGAAGGGTCGGGTCTTAAAATGTTCTCTAAGATTCATACACTATTATAAAATCTACTTTCTTCATAAAGCTCAATGAAACTAAATATATTCATCTGTATATATATATATATATATATATATATATATATATATATATATATATATATATATATATATATATATATATAGTAAAACTCGTTTAGTATGAACACGGATATAGCGAATTCACGGACATAACAAGGTTTTTCGGGGTCCCCGACAAAATTCTTAACAATTCTTTGTTAAATAATTTTACAGATATAACGAACTCTGATATAACATATATATATATATATATATATATATATATATATATATATATATATATATATATATATATATATATATATATATATATAACAGATGAATATATTTAGTTTCATTGAGCTTTATGAAGAAAGTAGATTTTTATTATAGTGTATATATTTTTTTGAACAATTTTATTTTCTTAAATGTACTGAAGTGTAGCAATCATAAACGTTACTACACAAAAACGAATGAATGAAAACTTTTTTTATTATTATTTAAACTGAGTAAATAAAAAAAAAGATGAATGATAGGTAAATGAGGCATTTTGGGCTATTAGTCCAACCTGCATTCTCTGTAAACATCCATATTGCAAAGATGTACAGTTAAGTCCATTACCAATTGTCATGATAACTGTTACTGATTTTATAATCAACTAATCTCTAAAATTGCATTAAAGTAAATTAAACACTATTTACAAAATGTCGGTACTCATTTCCCCAGATGTATTGCATCACTTATTGTTATAGCTCAAGGATACGATATCCCATGTTGATTCCTACTGAGCTTTTAAGAACTGCTGCTGTACAAACGGCTTTTCAGGAGAATATTTGTTACATATTCCTCTCTAAATAATATTAGTAAGATCCTTTGTAACATTTATAATATATTTTTTATTCATTTTTGCTATTGAATAAAGTCGGTAGAGTTAAAAAAAAAATCAGAAATTGAATTTTTTTTTTTCAAATTCCTCAAAAATTGGGGTCGGCTAATCCGTAAACCTAGAAATAAAGAAGAAAAATTATGGCCTTATGTGGAATCTTCCTGAAATAATGTAGATTTTAAATTGTTCATATCTTGGCCCCCAGGGTTAGGGTGGAGCCACAGTAGGGAAAACAAGTTTTACACTAAAATATATGGAAAAAAATCTTTGAAAATCTTTTAAAGAACCACAGTTGTAAGGTAATTTAAATTAAAAATCAATTTGATTGAATCACGTTCCCTACAAATAGGGCGGGGCTAGAGGGGGGGGGATCTTATGAAGAACAGAGGGGAAAAGTGACTCAAATGAGTATTGCGGCCAATCGGCCCCTTGTTCTGATTGCAATAAATTTTGCCACAATAAGAGACAATACCAAGGATTAGTATTCTATTTATTGTTGTTGCAAAGTTTTTAGGTCCAAGTGCTACTTTTCTTTTCCTTTGTTATAAGTGCAAACCAGTAGAATACAGTCTCGTCAGAGACTTCTGGTTTTCCTTTCAACATAGGGTTCCATGCAATCTGACGTTCTAGAAAATTTTATCGGAAAATAGTCGTAAAAGACTAAGATCGCGGAATTGCGAAAAGGATTTACACATTTTGTGTTTTAATAATTTGTTTCTTTTGTATCTTTTGTATCACTTAAATCAAATCATTGAATAATTCATTAATGACGTTTTATCAAATAATTAAACGATTGCTTGTTGTCAGTTTCATTAAAAATTGCCAGTAACTTAGATCCGCCAACCGGAAGCGCCACTGTACTCCGTTTTTGCTATTTCATGGCTGTTTATTGAAAATGACGGTAGATAGTTTGATATTAGTGTAGTGAGTATACACTCTGGTGAAGGCGTTTTGGAGTTCATTTGCAAAAT